ACAGACGGGGAAACTGAAGTGATCTAGTTCCTTCCACGTGGGGGATGGCATGGGGCTGAGGTCTGTCTGAGGTCTCCATCATAGGGGATGGAGCTCCCCAGGTAGACCAGGTGTTCGAGCTAAACATGGGGCTTGAGCATCCTTGCACGTGGGTTGTGTGTTTGCCTGACCTCAGCCAGTCCAGTGACCGTGGCTGGCCTGCAGCCAGCCGCCCTGTGCAAGCCCTTTATAGTGTCACTGGGATCTCCACGGGTGGCCCAAGTAGCTGGCAATAAAGCTGCGGGACTTGCGGTTTTTCTTGCCGGTTCTGAGTGTTTTCGTGGGTAGAAGCTCACCGGCCTCAGCCCGCAGGTGCTCCTGTCCTCTCCAGGTTGAAGCTGAGTCCTTGGGCTTTTTTCTCTGTCTTTGCTCTTAACTGTCACAACTCTGAGCAGAAAGTCGATCTTTCGGTCCAGGCTGCTCAGTGAGTGCTTGCTGTATACAGTCCCTACCAGCTTGTTTGGGGGCCCGCCAAAGCTCTTTCACACTCTGTAAACCTGCCCGTGTGTCAGAGCACAGCGGGACCCACGCCCTTGACGCCAAGGACTATCGGGGTGGAGGGGTGGGCAGACCGAGGCCCTCCCCTGTGGCCGGCCTCCTAACGGCTCCTGGCACTGTTGGTCACTTCACAGGAACCTCGGGTGCTTTTAAATTCCGGAAAGTGCAGCTCTTGTAGGGTTTGTGATGAAGAGGAAATGGCACCACCGGTGAGAGGCCCCCGGCCTGGCACACCCCCCGGGCTGGCAGGCAGGCAGGCCTCCCCGCGGTTTGTCTCAGAGAGTGGCCATTTGGTGCTTCCGTAGTTGCCCCGTTTCCCTGTGATGGGAGCCCTCACCGGCCGGGCACCGCTTTCCGTAATAGAGTGAGTTCACAGGGGACAGCAGCTCCAGGACCCCCAGCTGCCAGCAGTCACAGCACACCAGGAGCTTGTTCCTCAGACTGGCAGTGTGAGCTGTGATCTGGGCGTAATGAGGGGTCACTTCAGGTTCTACAATAGTCCTGCCCGTGGCCTGCTTTGAGATGTTTAGCCCAGATCGCCAACAGCTTTTATAAAAAGATGAGACTAGGGTATACCTCAGTGGTAAAGTATGGAGTGAATGTAGCTGTGAGGCCCATGCCACACTGGGAAAAAGTGGTTTTTGTTTGGCTTGGTTTGGTTTGGTTTCTCTGTGTAGCCCTGGCTGTCCTGAAACTCAGTTTGTAGACCAGGCTGGCCTCGAACTCAGAAATCCACTTGCCTCTGCCTCCTGAGTGCTGGGATTAAAGATGTGCACCACCATTTTTTTCTTTTAAACAGCAAACCGTGTGCCAAGCTTCTGGGCATCTAGTGGTGATCAGATGCAGACTGGACCTCTGGCTCTGCAGAACTCATACCAAAGGAAGAGAGGCAGACAAGCTGGAAGGAACGAGATTCATTTGGGCAAGGGCCTAGAGGCTTCCTGGAGGAAGGGGTGTGGAAACCCAGCCTAGGTCCAAGGGATTCTTGGCAAGAGGTCCACTGGCACAAAGATGAGTGAGTGACTGAACAGGGCCGGGGAGGGCGGATAGGCGGAACCGGAGACCCACAGGCTGGCTCAGGCCTAGGCTAGGGTGGTGCTTCCCTGCATTCGCTGGCCACGGCCAAAGTCCTGTGTAAAACAGATCTGTTACAAATCATCCCCAGAGGTCCAGTGTGAACCCCACACTGTGATGGATGGTCATCGTTGACGCTGTTGTTAACATTAGGAGTCTAGCCTCTTTCATTAATGTGGAAAAGGGTAATTTTGAGTTCGTACAGCTATCTGGTGGGTAGGCCTGCTCTGGTCAACCCTCTGAAGCTGTGGTGTGCAAGCCATTTGCTATGGGGAGAGGGAGCAAGGGAGAGAGGGATTCAGAGAGGGAGGGAGGGAGAGAGGCAGAGAGGGAGGGAGGGAGGGAGGGAGGGAGGGAAGAGAGGTCCTGAGGATAGGGCTCTGGTGTTTCCTTCCTCCCTCCATCCTCAGCCATTCGTGAACACACGTCACACCCAGGTGCGGTACCAGATACCAGGGGGCAGAACTGAGTGAGAGAGACACAGGCGCTGCCTTCATGGAGAGTAGGGGGACCTAATGTGTTACTTGTGGGGGTTCCATATCCTCGCTCAGCCCCGAGCTAGTTCTTTGGGGGTGTAGAGGAGTGAAGTAAGACTCAGAAAGGAAGGAACTTCCTCGAGGTCCCCAACCAGTAAGTGGCAGATTTGAACTGGGACCTGTTCATCTGGGAGGGAGGCAAGTATTCCGCTGCTGGGTGAGGAAGTCACGGGAGGAGCAGGGCGTGGTGGGCGATGTGGGGACGAGCCAGGGAAGGGGTTTGGGCCTCTGATTTTAGAGTTTGCCTCTGCTCATACTGTAAAGAGTGGATCCGAGCCTCAGGGAAGCATGGGGGTGTCTGTACTTAAGTCTGGACAGTAAAAGTGGCATCTGTGCAATGACATTTGTGAACTTTGCCCTGAAGATGTTCTCAGGATCTTAGGTTTCCTGGTAGAATGGCAAATACACTGGGGGTTGGGAAGCTAATCAACAAAGAGTGTGATTAGTAATGTCTGCCCTGTGTAGCTAGAGTTTCCCTGCCTGGCCCACAGTCAGGACAAATCTCTGTCACTGCTCAGACCCAACCAAGTAAACACAGAGACTTATATTGCTTACAAACTGTATGGCTATGGCAGGCTTCTTGCTAACTGTTCTTATAGCTTAAATTAATTCATTTCCATAAATCTATGCCTTGCCACGTGGCTCATGGCTTACCGGCGTCTTCACATGCTGCTTGTCAGGGTGGCGGCTGGCAGTGACTCCTTCTGCCTTCCTGTTCTTTCTTTTCTCCTCTCTGTTAGTCCCGCCTATACTTCCTGCCTAGCCACTGGCCAATCAGTGTTTTATTTATTGACCAATCAGAGCAATTTGACATACAGACCATCCCACAGCAGCCCTGGGCATCAGAACAGAGTGCAAAATATTCTGGACTCAATGAAGAGTGTGATTAGTAATGTCTGCCCTGGGCATCAGAACAGGGTGCAGAGTATCCTGGGCTCAATGAAGAGTGTGATTAGTAATGTCT